TTTATACCAGGGATTGAACTCAGAGGTACTTAAGCACTGAGCCACATCCCCACCCTTATTTTGCCTATTTTATATTTTTATTTAGAGACAGGGTCTCACTGAGTTTCTTAGCACCTCACTTTTGCTGAGGCTGGCTTTGAACTTGAAATCCTCCTGCTTCATCCTCCTCAGCTGCTGGGATTACAGGTATGTGCCATGACACCTGGCCTAGGAAGGCAGTTCTAAGAGGAAAGTTTGTAGCACCAAATACCTATGTAAAAAAATCAGACAGATCCTAAATAAACAACTTAATGATGCATCTCAAAGTCCTAGAAAAACAAGAACAGATCAATTCCAAAACCAATATAAGGAAGGAAATGATTAAGATCAGAACCAAAAATAATTAGAGAATTTAGAAAGGATCAATGTAACAAAGAATTGGTTCTTTGAAAAGATGAACAATATTAATAAACCCTTAGCCAAACTAACAAAAAGAGAGAGAGAGAAGACCCAAACAAATAAAATCAGAGGTTAAAAAGAAATGAGCTGTGCCACAGATATCACAAAAAAATCCAGAGGATCACTAAGGGCTATTTTGAAAATTTACACGCCACAAATTGAAAAATATAGAAGAAATGGATAGATATGAATGCATAAGACCTACCCAAATTGAACCAAGGGGACATAGGAAACCTAAACAGACCAATAACAAGCAATGAGATTGAAGTGGTAATAAAAAGCCTTCTCTTTTAACTTTGTATATTTCTTCTTGCTTCATTTTTTGAATTACGATAAACATTGTTACATTTGCTTTAAAAGTTTTTAATTAAAAGCAGAAACATATAATAACAAGCTATTATAAGGAAATAAAGTATAACTGGTGATATAAACTTGTGTATAAAAAGTTCAAAACAGATTAATATAGTAGCAACCCCTTCCCTGACCAAAGACACCCCTCTATCTGCCATCAATGTAAATGCTCCTAGGAACCTGAACCTATAAATCAAAGTTTGTGTGAATCACGACTGAAGCTGGGAGATTAGGATAGGACTTTTTGAACAATGAAAGATCACTTGGCAACTGCAATAGTAGCTACATCACAAGCTGCAGAACTCATTTATGAAACTGCCTTATTGAGACATAACTGATGTACGATAAAACACATCCCATAACATAAACTGTGCATGTATCAAAATTGTACATTTTAGTAAGTTTTAACATATGTACACATGCCCATAAAACTCTGATCAAGACAGTGAAAACACTCATCACCCACCTGAAATTTCTTGTGCTCTTTTATAAACCCTTTTCAGCCTTCATCAACCACTGATCTGGATGCAAAATGCTTAAGTCCTATCTGACTTATTGGGTAACATAATAAAAATAGACATTTTTTTCTGGAAAATACTCATACAATGCTAAATTTCAACAGGTATTTTCCTGTAAATCAGAATGATTTCTCAATTTCAAGCTTAATGTACCAATCTTTATCTAGTTAAAGCTGTATGGAGTCCTGGTTTGCTCTTGAAAATAGGTCTAAAAAGATTTGTTTCCCCCTATATGATCCCTGTTTGTAACCCTGTTTAAACCAAATAAACATATTCTAGAATATTATCTATTTTAAATTATATATTACACATTAGATTATATATTAATTAAAATATATCTGCTAAAAACAGGTAGAATCACTGAGACCAATTTATTAGGCTATTACTCAAAATTGATTATGTAGAACAATCTAACTTACCCTTTAATTTTCTTTTTAATATTCCTGTGCTTCAACTGACAATAATGGTAGAATTCATTAACATTCTCATCATTTTCACCATTGTAATATCCACAGATTGATTTATTCAACAAGGTTTTCAGAGTCTAGTATAAACCAAGCCCTGATGAAAAAGAATGCCATAATTATGACCTTCATAAATTAATCAAAAGGTCAATTTTTTAAAAAATTGTTTATTTTTAGTAATACTTAACATTAGGGTTATTTTGACATAATTATTAAAGCATGGAATATAATTTGTTCTAATTCAATCTCCAGGGTTTTCCTTCCCCTCTTCTTCTCCCTCCACCTGTTCCCTTCCCTCCATTGTACTGATCTTTCTGCTATTTACTTATATAGTTTTTTAATTAGTGTCTTGGATATATATGATAGTGAGATTCACTGTTGTATATTCATATACATCCATAGGGAAGTTAGGTCAGATTCATTCCACTGTTCTTCCCTTATTCTGATTTTCCTCTCTCCCCCTCAGTCTCCTTTCTCTACTCCACTGATCTGTCTCCTGCTTTATTGGAATTTTCCCCTTCCTTCAAAAGGTCAAATTTTAATGAATATTTTTACCTATTTCCCTGTTCTCTTATATTCCACCTTTACACCTTCTCCAACCTCATGCACACATTTTGCTGCTAGCTTTGTGATTAAAAGGTATTAAGGAATAAATCATTACTGAAATGATTTATTCCTTAATACCTTTATAGAGGCCAATAGGAGGTCCTTTAACCTTAAAAAATTACAGTTACTTAATAATGCTTACACAGTGTGCATTCTAGCAATGGCTTGTGTATGTAGCTTTACAGAAATATTTCACTCAACATGCTCCCAATGCCAGAACATTTCTAGAAGATTCTCAGAGAACATGCTGCTTTCTCTTATCACCTGGAACTTCATCTTCCTTACCTCTGTACCTAGTAGCAAAGCTGGCCAAATAGGAGTGGAATAAGAGATTAGGGGAAAGGTATCACACTGGAAATGTTCTCCCAAGCCTAAAATAGTTTTTTTAAACTGCAGTGAAAACTCAATAAATTCTGCACAGTCTGCATCCAAAGTCATTCCAAAACCTTTTCTCATTTCAGAACATACTAGAGAGCCTCATCTTATACCTCTTGGGTTTTTAAAATCAAATTAACTTTGAAACATTGAAAGTACTTGAGTCATAAGTATCCACCCATTTGTTCTCTCTTATTCTTTCTCACTCAAATATTTGCTGTCATATGTAAATCAATGGAAGTGTAACTGATGTGATTCTGCAAGCTGTATACGGGGTAAAAATGGGAGTTCATAACCCACTTGAATCAAAGTGTGAAATATGATATATCAAGAACTATGTAATGTTTTGAACAACCAACAATAAAAAAAACAAATATTTGCTGTTAGAGTGTTTAGCAAGGTGATCAGAATAAGACACATTTAAAAAAAAAACAACAGTAGAAAATAATAGGACAATCTGCATAACTCAATATCCTCTTTTGAAGTAGGTCTTGCTGCCTTTTTTTTTTCTCCAGGCTTTTGAACCTCCAAGTTTGTCATTTTGAAAGCATTTTAGATGTATAAAATTATATCAACATATTTATGTAAGTCAGCAGGGCAGCCAGTATTTGTTAGGATCAGATCAACCTAGGAAATTTGCAAACTTCTGGTCATATAGAATCCCAGTAAACAGGGTGCAGAGGCACATGCCAGTAATACGAGCAGCCGAGAAGGCTAAGGCAAGAGGATTATAAGTTCAAAGCCAGCCCCAGCAATTTAGCAAGGCCCTAAGCAATTTATCAAGACCCTGTCTCAAAATAAAACATAAAAAGTGTTAGGTATATGGCTCAGTGTTAAATTGCCCCGTGTTAAATCCCTATTAACCTCTCCCCAATAAAAAGAATTCCAGTAAGTTTTGACCAAATAGAAATATTTTCTGGCTCTTTAGTCAAGATGCCACAGATAAATGTTCAAGCACTCTGACACATCATTAACCAAACAGCATTTTAAAATGAAGCCTTAACCATATGCTCTGATCTTTGGAATAATTTCAAAATCACATCATTAAAATAAACTGTACTCAATTTTGCAATAGTAGGAATATAGCCAGTAGATAACCCTGTAAACAACCAAATTCCCAGATTAAGATGGTATGAAAGAGATTATGGGGGGTGGGCAATGAAGATTTCTGGAAAGAAGTGACTTGTGAAGATCCACAGTCATTCAGTAATGATAACTTTGCAACAGTGAATTATTAGAGTTCTACAAAGACAATCTCTGCTATCATCACTCAAAGAAACTTACCTCTAAGGTAGAGTTTAGTGAGGGGATTTTTTTTTTTTTTGGTGTTAGGGATTTAACCTAGGGATGCTTTACCACTGAGCTACATCCCCAGTCCTTTTTTTATATCTTCATTTATTTTTTGTGGTGCTGAGGATTGAACCCGGTGCCTTATATGTGTGAGGCAAGCACTCTACTGCTGAGCCCCAGCCCCAGCCCCCCAGTCCTTTTTATTTTGCTATTTTGAGACAGGGTCTCATTAATTTGCTGAGGGCTTCCCTAAATTGCTGAGGTTGGCCTCCTACTTGCCATCCTCCTGTCTCACCCTCCCCAATCACTGAAATTACAGACATGTGCCACCACACCCAGCTTAGTATGAGGAATTTTGATCTTGAAATAAAGAAAAATAGATTCATGTTAATTCATCTCTCAGGGCAACTTAATTTTCTGTTTTCTTCTCCCTGTGTCAAAAGATTGTTCTAAGGTTTCCTTTATGTGATATTTATGAAAGCAAAGTGCTTTGAGTGCTTCTGAGGCTACCAGAAAATAAATAAACTTTTAAAAAGTTTGTATTCAGCCTTTCCATGCAAATCCATTTATATAACTCTGTATGCTGGGGTGAGCACAGGCATCCTCCCATGACAGCAAGGGAGGGAGCTATTTTTAAAAAACTGTATATACAAAGCAGTGGGCAGACCTGTCCAACAAGTCTTTTAGTCTTTTGCCCCTTCTTCGGCACTTTGTTGAAAAGCACCTTTTTTGCAGACACCTCCAGCCAAGAATGACGCTTTATACCTTGGATTAATTTACCATAATGCTACTAAAGTTGACTCCCTTCTTTCTGCTTTCTCTTCTCCACATGACCTCAAAAAAGAAAGAAAAGGCCATCATGGATGTAAAGGAATGTGGCTAAGTATCTCCCATATTTTTTCCTCACTCACTGAGTAATATTAGAATTGTTTGTGGGAAATGCATCTTAGGAAATTACCAGTGTTTTGCTTCCAGGTTCTGTCTTGAGTCTGAAAATTACCAGCAGAATTCCTGTCCACAGTCGCCACCTACAGGAGAAAAGCAACCTTTACATGGGACCTGGCTTTGTCCTACTAAGTTTCTGAGTGCAGCAGTATTTCCCCAGCTTTTCAAAACCCTAAGGTGATCTTATTTGAATACAAGTCCCACAGAGCCACATATTACCCAATATCTTATGTGGAAAATGTGATCGAGGGAGGAAAAACTAGGGAGGCCACAATTCATGTGAACTCTTCATAGTAACCTATGGCATCCTAACCAGGCAACACTCTGCCAGAAACAGGTATAGTCAAAAGTGGATGAAATAGTACAAAAATAAGTAAAACAACTATATCTTTACAACCTTAAGCACAAAGAGTCTGATATTGACACAGTCGTGCTTATATACCATCATAATCTGGTTTTTTACTTGTTTTTATTAACAATTCCAGATATTGATATCGTTAACGCATTTCTCACTTTTTATGCCTGCAGAATGTTCCTGTAGAAATTTGATAGAGAAATTCTGTAGAAATTCTATAGGAACTTACTACAGATTTAGTTAGAGATATTCCCCCTCCATGGAGATTTGTGTTTTCTAATATTCTTTTTTCCTGAAAGACCATTACCTTTTCCAAAGGACTACTGCCATAAGAAAAAACAACTACCATGAAATTATTTGTACAGATCTTTACAAAAATGATTTCCTCAAAATGTATTTTCAAATATATTTTGTCAAAGGGCAGGAATTCATTCATATGGCTCATTAACTATTGTCAAATTGGTCTCCTGAAACATTAAGTCAATTAATCAGGCCATCAGTGAGCAAACATGCCTGAACCCCTTGCAGCCCTATACACATTGGATCATTATGATGTTTATATTTGCTGCCTTTATTAGTATATAACAGAAACTTCAAGTAGCTCTCATTTGCATTTAATTTCATGTAGACTGAAGCTCCAGCCAACCTTGTATCCATATTCCACTTCCTGTTCAATATCTTCAGTTGAATATTTCATTGGCATCTCAGATGAACAAGTTCACCAGAGCTCCTAATTTCCATCCCCCAAATCTGTCCTCAATCTCAAACTTGTTTCTTCCCACCTAGTGATTACCACCTCCCCAAATAGAGTCACCCTCCACCCAAGTGCTCAGGCTGAAAACTTAGGACTTATTCTTCCCTTCTTCTCTGATTCGTTCCTTTTGCAAGTCCTTTGGACTCCACCTTTATCACACATTCCAAACCCATTTCCAACTTCATTGCTACATAACAGGTCCAAGCTACCACCATCTGTCACCTGGATCATTGCCAACAGCCTCCTCTTCCATCCTTGTCCCAACAGTCTACTGTATGCACTAGCCAAAGTGATTTTTTTAAAAAAACTTTAAGGACGTGTAGTTCAGTGGTAAAGCTCTTGCCTAGCAAGGATCAGGTTCTGGGTTGCATCCCCAGTACTGAAAAAAAAATACCACCAACAAAAACATTGTTTTTAAAGAAATAAGTAAATAAGAACCTTAAGTCAGACCATGTCTCTCCTCTGTTCAAAACCCTCCAGTGAACCGGGCACAGTGATGCATGCCTGTAATCCCAGCAACTTAGGAGGCTGAGGCAGGAGGATCATGAGTTCAAAGCCAGCCTCAGCAACAGCAAGGCCCTAAGCAACTTAGCAAGACCCTGCCTCTAATAAAATACAAAAACAAGGGCTGGGGGTTTGATTCCTGGGTTCAGTCCCTGGTACCAATAAACAAACAAACAAATCCAAAACCCTCCAGTGGCTTCCCATGACATTGTGAAGGAAATGCAAACTGCTTATCCTCAAAATATGGCCCCTGCCCACCCACCTCTTTCAACTCATTTCACCCCTCCTCCCCTCCTTCCTTTGTTCTGTCCATTCCAGCCCCATTGGTCTTTTTACTGCCCCACAAATGTAGCAGTTTTACTCCACAGGGTGAACATGGAGTTCCCCCTATCTGAAGGGCTCTCACCCAAGATTTCTTTAAGGTTGATTCTTTTTCATTTTTTTCAGATTTGACTTGAATATCATCTCAAAGCATCTTTCCCTAAACAATCTGAAATAGAACTGGCCCCACTCCTATCAACAGTAGCATATCACTCCATTTTATTTTTACCATAACATTGAAGCTAGCTACTAATTTTGACACCTTGTAGATCTGTATAAAAGTGTGTTGTGTTGAAGCAGCAAATGCATGAGTGCTGCATTTGGAATATTTAGTTTTATCCTTAAGCACCTCCCTGTGTATTCATTTATGCTATCTAATATATGACAACCAGTTGTAGTACATACAATTTTATGATCTTTATTTCCCTTTGAATTTTCTTTAAGCATTTAAATAAATTGCTGAATTGTGATTTTAAAAAAGAAAGAAAGAGAGAAAAGATGCAAGTGGTAAAAGTAGCATGCAGGGGCTGGGGATGTGGCTCAAGTGGTAGCGTGCTCGCCTGGCATGCGTGCGGCCCGGGTTCGATCCTCAGCACCACACACAAACAATGATGTTGTGTCCGCTGAAAACTAAAAAAAAATATTTAAAAAATTCTCTCTCTCTCTCTCTCTTCAAAAAAAAATAAAAAAATAAAAAGAGTAGCATGCAAGTCACTAGACTCCAGGTTAAAAAGGAAAATAGTGGCCAGAGCCTGGGGTCAGATATGTCACTGGTGCTTTAGTCTAGCAGGATATTTCAAGTATTCTCAGTTCTTTATTCTTTGACATTCTGAGTCCCCAACAGTTTCTAGTATAAAGTTGCAAAAGTCATACCTTGTAATATTCATGGAAACATACCCATTTCAAAAAGGGTGCCCCCAATGTATAGGGGATCAAGCATGTGAGAGTACACCTTCACTTCCTATTAAATGAAGTCTGAGTTTCTGATCCAGTTATCAAAAACACTCTGCGAATTTCATTCCCTTCCCAGGTTGTATATCCCCCACCACCCTTCAGTCACCCTACTCCACAGCAAAATTAATTCACTCCTCTTCGCTTCCAAGTCTCCACAGCTTTGCTCCTTGAGTCATTTTCTCTCTCCAGTGTCTCATGTCAAGCTTTCGCTCATCTTTCAATTCAATCTTAGATCCAGCTTCTTCCTCACTTCTCTGCTTTCCCCAATAATCTATCTCACTAACGTGCTTGCTTAGAAATATATCTATACCTTTCTTAACACACTTATCACTTTCAGTGCTGCATTATGATTATTTGGATGTCTATAATTTCAAGAACTGAGATTAGTTCATAATTTTATTTCTTTAGATTAGAAAAAAATCTTTCCTGTGAGTTTAACTTATAATTTTGAATTAATTAATTTATGAGTTCATTCACATGCCTATCACTGTATCCAAAATGATTTATTATTTTGTTTGACTTTTATTTAGTCTCCAATTAAGATTCTGCTGTAAAATGGAAGATATAGCCATCATAAATTTTTACCAAAAATGAATTGAGCTTCTAGATGTACACATTTCTAGTTATAAAATCTTTAAATAATATTCCCTTCTATTGATGTGACTTAAATCAAGAATAATAATAGGGGCTGGGGCTGGGGCTCAGTGGCAGAGTGCTTGACTAACATGTGTGAGGCACTGGATTCGATCCTCAGCACCACATGAAAGTAAACAAAATAAAGGCATTCTGTTCATCTACAACTACAAAAAAAAATTTAAAAGGATAATAGTAAATGAAGGGGGTTCATAGTCCTACAACAAAGGAGTAAAAGCTAAAGTAATTTTTTTTAAATTGAAGCTATCCATTTATGTTGTATATTTATTAACCTACTTTTGCCTGTCTGTCCCTTCCCTTCCCAGTCTGTAAGTTCTGTGAGGGCAAGGTTGCATCTGCCTGGTTCACCAGTATATCTTCAAAGCCTAAGATAGTACCTGGCTCATATAAAGAAATAATAAGGAGGCTGGGGTTGTGGCTCAGTGGTAGAGCACTCACTCAGCCTGTGAGGAGCTGGATTCAATCCTCAGTACTACATAAAAATAAATAAATGAATTAAAGGTATTGTGTCCAACTGCAACTATATATATATATATTTAAAAAAGAACTCATAAGGCTAAATCCTACCTAAAACAGAGATTCTGTTCAAAAGCTGCATTTGAAAGTATGACTTTAATATTTAAAATCCTAATATTAGCACTCAAAGACAAATAGTAAAATGATAATGCAGATGTGCATGTTCTTTTGGATTCCTAGAGCTATTAACATTAATTAACATTGAGATAAATTCAGGTATATCTACTTAACACCTACCCAGTTAGACATTTTGAGGGCTACCATAAGTCACCCTCAAAGGACTAAGTCTGCAAAGAGAAAGAACTTATAACTTGTAACTGGAATATGAGGAATAAAATGGTGAATGCCATGAGAGGTATAGAGTACTTTGGGCCACAGATAAACAATAAAGGTCTTAACACTCTTTCACACAAAATGAGTGTTAGAATTCCTGGGAATGTGCTTTGTGGGTTTAATGGGACGTATGTAGAAACAATTGTACTTGTCACAATAACTGGCAAAGGAATAAGCTTCCCTGCCATTTGCTAAGCAGGGGGCCAGCAACTGCTTAATGCCCTGCAGTTCCTGGACAGACTTGCACAATAAAGATCTTCCCATGACAACACAGAAAAGACTCATCTAGAATATATGGAATGTATTCAGGGAATTCCAGATTCATATTTCTAACATGTTGCTTTCTCAGGTAGTCACTTCTGGGTTGTTTTTCCTCTGAACTCTCTCTCTCTCTCTCTCTCTCTCTCTCTCTCTC